GAGGCATTAGTTATAAATTCTCTCCCCTGTTAATAATTCTTACAACATAAAGTTGATGTCCAAAATACTTTGTAAAGAATCAACTAAGTTAATGCCTTGTCTCACAATTGCAGGCATTCAAGACAGCAGGACTTCTGGAAAAATCAATCAAATTCACACAAGCTCCACAATCCCATATTAATTTTTTAGGGTTTTTTCCCCCCTTGATGTAGGATGCTGATAAAATCATATCTGCTGTGACCTTTTAAACATTTAATTACCTATGTTGTGAAATTAATCCCTAATTTTCATTTCTGGTCATTACTGGCACTTTACAGTGGGGATTTGGTATCAGGAGAATTAAATTCAACTTAGAGCTCCCATGGACAGCAGTGGGAGTCTTATACAATCTCGAAACTCTCATGTTGGCTGATGTTTCTTTCATGAGGAAAAGCCACTGCTTCTTGTTACTTGATGATGGTGTTTTGTTCTCCACTAATCTATTTTTAAATCAGTATGGTAAAGAACAAGCATCGATGCTTATGGAGACAGTGTTAGATTAAGGGTATTATTAAAAACACTCCTGAACAGTATTACTAATATTTCCTTAAATTCTAATTCGGCAACCTTATCTTTCTCGGTGAACTTTGTAGGGCCCCAAGAGTGTCTTTTTGTATAGCTAGGGTTGCAGAAAAAATATCTAGGTCACAAGCTGAAAAAAAAATCCATTCTGACTTGCTTTTATACAGATAATCTATGTGTATTTCAGCATCTTGGATTAGGAGGGAGGACTAGTCCACTTCATTTTCTCACTGGTACTCTGTTGGAAATACTGCAAAGAAATATTTAAATACACATGAAAAACCTCCCTTCACTGCATCTTGAATACATGTCCGTGAAACACGTGTGCAGTTGTTTTTTTCAAAGAGGCTTGCAAAATTCTGACACAAATGGGTCTACTGTGGAGAGGACCAGTGTTGCCCCCAACCCACCACTTGCAAAACTGCTCTTGCAGGATTAGGAGTATTGCTGTTGATGTCATTAGCTAATTTAGCATGCTGTAGTTATATGCACAGAGATTGCTTAGGATAATTGTGTTGTACAAAAGAGCCACTCCTTTATGTATTTAGCCTACTGTGGGTGGGTTACCCTATCACAAAACATGATGTAGGTAGGCCCATAATGCTATAATCTGATTTAGTTGGTTTACGGTTTATTGGTACCTATTCAATTAATCTTAGAGAAAGCAATTCATAAAGGGGGGTGTGTACTGTTATTTTAGAAATAGGATAAGACAATGTATTAGTCCATACATCTAGTTTGTTTCCTATCCTCTTGTCCCCTCCTTGTTCTGTATATTACTGTCACAACCCAGTGATTTTGGTGCCTCGGCACAATGGAATTTTCCCGCCACATGAGAGCCTCTTGCACAGCAAAGGTTTTTGTTGCAACAGAAAAACCTCAGTGCAAGAGAGTTCCCGCCATTTGAATGCAAATTTGTGTTCCGCTATTGGCCAGTTCTAAATTATTCCTACGTGGCGGCTAGTAATTGGCTCGCTGGCCGTTTAAAATTTCGTGCGACTTCCGCCCAAGTCGGAGAACTTTGAGCACGCTGCAGAGTGCCTCTAAAGAGATCTGACTTGTGGCTGAGCTGATCGATAGACTGATCACCTATCGATTCTTCTCCCCGTCGCCGAGCGCAAACCCCGACGTACCCTTTCCCTGCCGGCTTGATTTGTGGACGGACGAGCTAGCTTGAGCCCTGCCAGCTGGAACAACTAACATAGTTGTTCAGATGACCGGACCGTCTGCATCGCAGCTACAAGCGGCGTAAGTAAAGTTTTGCAACAATTAAGCTTTGTCTGCCTCTCCATTCACCAGCCCGCCCTAACGAACGAGTAATTGTTGGATCACCTCGAGTCGGCTCTTGCCGTCCGAGACAATTACATTGTCTACACTACTGAAATACAAGTTACTTGCTGGTGTTTGCTGCCTCTTCTTTGCAATAATTTACTAAGAGTTACACCTCTTGAACATTTTTTGAATATTTTTAAGACATGTTTTGGCCATTTCATTTTTCGAACGCTCTCCCCTCTCCTGGCTCATCAAAGATTAAATGAATCTAAAACATTGGGTTAATAAGTCATCATTTTTCTCAGGAACTGAAGGTGGCTCCATTCATAGGTTTTTGCAGGAATGTGGTTTATATAGATGACAGTCCTAAGAAGAAAACTGTAAGTGATGTAAGCACTGCATTTACCCAAATCTAAGACTACTTTGAATTTAAAACAACCCACCAATAATTAGTTGCTAGACAAACATTGAAAATTATAATTTTTCAAATAATTTTCCATGTCCAGAATCTAATTATTAGAGGGTTGTCTTAAGTTTGTCCCCCTCACTGCTGAGGCAAAAAAGCTCTAGCAGGGGTCAAATGGTGGGGAAAGCAAGAGCGGAGGGAAGATGGGACAGCAGGGGCAGGGGGAGCAGGCAGCCTGGCCTCCATCACTTTCCTACCACTTACTTCCTTGCCTACCTCCTTTTTCCATTGCTTTCCTTGCTGATCTGGATACAGGGTGAGCTCCAGAGCCTCTCCTGCCCCTGTCACAGGAAGCCAGCAGCCGGCAGATTCCTCGTTCCCTGCCCCACTCCCTTTCTACCTCCCTGTCCCCCCTGCTGGCCTGGAATAGGCTCTGTAGAGCTGGGCTCCTGGCAGCGTGGGGCAGGAACGGCTCTGGAGCTCTCCTGTACCTGCTGCAACCGAGTCAGACTCCAGCTAGGAGCGGTGAGATGCTGCTCTTCAGGGAGCCTAGCTGGCTGGAGATCTCAGCAGTGGTGCAGATTCCGCCTTCCATGCCTGGCTTACTGATAGCGAAGCAGCGGAGGGGAGAGGGGAGCAGGACTGGGAGCAGAGGCTGAAAACAGGAATCTGTGTGCTGCTGATGCTGTCCCTGCCTCAGCTGGGCTTCCTGCACAGGACTTCTCGCAGCTCTCAGCTGTGATACTAGGTCCAAGATGAAACTTTCTTTTCTCCATGATGAATGGGGGCAAAAATCTTCTCTTGGAATCAAGTAAATATGGTAATCTCTCCACCAGTCCTAGCTAATAGACAAGTGGGGCGCGTCCACATGTGTACAAAAAGCCGCCCTGGCAAGTAGCTCAGGGCCACTCGCTCCCAGGAGCTTCTGGGGCACAGCCAATTGGTACCTGGGGACACCACCCCTTGTGCCAGCTGGACTGCTGCAGCAGCCCTGAGAGTTCCCTGCACCCTCTACCCACTGCAGCAGTCTGGCAGTGGGGGCTGCTGCCTGGCTGTGACCTGCTGTGCACCTGCCAGACCCGGATGGGGACTGCACA